GAGCCCCATTTTCCACACATCCATGATGAACCTGGCATTGGTGCTTTGGTCAGTCCATTGTGGCACTGCCACCATTGGAACTCCTAAACTCAGAGCCTCCAAAGTTGAGTTCCAACCACAATGTGTGACAAAGCATCCAACAGACTCATTTGCCAAAACATCCAACTGAGGGCACCATGAAACCACCAAACCCTTCCCAGATGTCTCCTCCACAAACCCTTTTGGCAGCTTGGCTGCTTCTGTTACCCTCACCACCCACAAGAAATAGTTGTTGCTGTTCCTCAGGCCCCAACCCAGTTCCTCCATTTGATCTTCTCCAAGTTCTGCTAAGCTTCCAAAAGACACATAAGCTACAGACCCTTTTGGCTTTGCATTTAGCCATGTCAAGCAGGCATCACTGTTTGGGTTAAAAAGGCTGAAACCATATTCTCTGTCGTCTTCACGCCGCTTATCCAAGTACATTGATGGGATTGTTGGTCCAATAGTCCTCAATGGCCAAAGCTTTGCCATCCAATCCACCACCTATGAAGAAATAATTAATCAAAACAGTCAATCTGATGTCTTACATATTGAATCAGAAGCTCCTAGCTAGTCATTAATTTTTCGAAACCTTGATTTGTATTTAAGAAAAAGGGTTAGTATTCTCTACCATCCAGCAATGTATTTGGAAGAGAAAATTAAACCATGAAATCAAATCACTTCAATTTCATTAACATGCAACAACCCCAGTTGATAGGCTTAACTAGTTACCTCTTCTTCCAGCTCGTAAAATGTGTTGCACAAAACCCAATCAGCTTTGTCAACATTAGAGAACTGATCATCCACAACCATTGTGAAGAAAGCAGGGTATGATCCATAAACAGAGATGAAAGAAGGCATGTCAGAAGGTTGAAGTGGTGGCAATCCAGGAAGCAAAATCTCAGACTCAGGAGGCAGAGGAAGTTTGAGCAGGCCTTGGTGGACATGGTAGAATATGTTGTCAACGGCACAAGACTGAGTGAAGAAAACTGCTCCAACAATCCCAAACTTTTTGGCTACATCAAGAGGCCAAGGCATGAATGCATCATAGACAATACAATCAGCTCGGTTCCCTGAGCTAGAGAGCCTGTCAATAAGCTCAATCAGAGTCTTCGTCCCGATTTTTCGAAACCGGTCCAAATAGGCTTCTATGCTCTCTGCTTGAGTAAGCCCACCTTCATCATAGCCATCAGAAATGGTGTCAAATGCAATGGAAGTGGATGATGAAGAAATTTTATGCAGGGTGTTGTGGACAAAGATGGTATTGGCTAGTGTGATTTTGATTCCTTTCTGGTTTAAAAGCTTGGAGAACTGGAACATGGGATTGATGTGGCCTTGGGATGGAAAGGGTAACACCAAGCAGTGAGCTTTGTAGGCTCTCTCCCTCTTCTCCATTCCTCTCTTTTGCTCTGTTTTTCTGTGTTTTATGTTTGTATTCTCTGTTTCCCTCAGCAAGTTAGGTGTCTGGTTTTAATAATTGCGCGTCTCATGCCAGATCAATGGGGACAGTGAGATAAGAAACAACAGGAGAGAGAGAGAGAGAGAGAGAGAGAGAGAAATCCAAAACAATGCCCTCAAATGGAAAATAGTGGCAAGAAACGTAATGGATGAAGGAGGGAAGTTGTGATAAACACAACGTTGATGAATGTGCTAGTTTTGAGTCGGTTGCAGGCGAAGTGCACCAAGTCTACTTTAATATGAATGAATTGATAATACTCTGCAACCATATTGAAAAATGTGCTTATTTTGCAGTACTATGCCATGTGCTCTATTCTGGGTGTTGTCCTCTGCATCAATAATTTACTCAAATGGAGGCAAAATAGAGAACTAGGACCACCTTTTTGGGTTTCAAGAAACGGAGGAGAAATTATTATCGACACGTGACACTGACCAAATTCCTAGGTTGGGTGGGTTCCATCTGATCTTATGGATCACCATTTTCATGGCTTAAAAAGATTTTTATGAGTTTGTTTGGGTCTCCAATTCGGTTTGGATTTGGGCTAAATCCACCCAAACTTTCATGAGGGTTTAGGGCCAAAATCATCTAAACTTTGGTGTCCCATTTCAATCCACCCAAACTTTCATGGTCCAAAATCAGAGTATTTATAATACCTAACTATGGATTCTGAGTGTTTGGTTGGTGAGAAACTGTGGGAAAGTGTAGGAAAATTAGTATTCGAAATTTATTAAGTTTCTTTCACTGAAAAAAGAAAGAAATTTATTAAATTTCTGAAATAAAAAATACTAATCTTGTAATTTTCAAATTGTTGGCTGTTTTAAGGGTTCATTTGGGACCAGAATCACTTATGGGAGAAGCAAGTGATTATATGGAGAAGTGATTATTGATCTATCTAGAATCACTTCCAAACGAGCCAGAAGCCTCAACCACAACACAAACCTTTATACATCTTTACAATTTTTTTTTTTATCCCGGCCTGCAAGCAATCCTCTTTGCCATTCCCACTTTCCATTATCAAATTTCTATCAATCTACAATGAAAAATATAAATAAATAAAAATCAATATTTTTTTTATTTATCACCAAGGCTGCTCCTGCTAAACCAAAGCTCCACTGGCATTACATGACACAGCCATCGATATTCCATATGCACAAGCAAGAGCAAGCAACTATGCTATCAATCTCTTGGTTATCTCTTTTCTCTCTCTCTGCTGCAAAATCTTGCATTTCACCAAGCAACATACCATTCAACAGCTGTCTTATTTCTTTGTATCTGATTGTCTTTGGGATTTCATATGTATTCTTGAGTAGTCACCAAAAGAAAAAAGAAAAAAACTTACAAAGCCTTTGGTGTTGCTTGAGTAATTGCTTTCATTTTTCGTCTTTGACATTGCTTCATCTGTTACATCCCTGAATCTTTATACCCAGAAAAAGAAAAAGAAAAAAGAACTCAAAAATGATTGCTTTCCTTGGTTTTGCCTTTCCTTCTTTGAATCTGAATTCACTCAGAGGAACAGGAAAAAAAAATCAATATTACTTACATCGGTTTTCTTCCTTTGTTTGTCTTTGGTATCCCATTTGTGATCAATAGTCACCACAAGAAAAAGAAAAGTACAAGAAAATGGAAATTTGTATTTCAGTTCTTGGGAAAGTGTCGGAGTACACAGTGGCACCAGTTTGGCGCCAATTTAGTTATCTAATTCACTACAAGAGCAATATTGAGCATCTTGCCAGCCAAGTTGAGAGGCTGGGAGACAAAACAAATGGGGTGAGGCTGCGGGTCGATGCAGCAACCAGGAATTTGGAGATAATAGCTCCTGAAGTTGAGACTTGGTTGCGTGATGTGAGCATGACCATATTGGAAAAGGAGGCATGTTTTGAAAAAGAAAGAGTTGCAAAGGCAGGCTGCTTCAATGGTTGGTGTCTAAATCTGAAGGCTCGTCATTCCTTGGGTAGGAAAGCTAAGAAGATGACTTTGGTGGTGAATGAGCTCCTTGGAGATGGCAGTTTCAGGATGGTAGCCTATCCCGCTCCTCCCCCGGAGATTGGGTTTCCATCAATGCAACATTCTGAGGATTTCACTCTGGCTGTAACAAATACTGCTCCCCATGAAGGTGTTGGATCTTCAAGAAGATCCAACCTTGATCCTTCACCAGCACCTATGGAACTTTATGAGGGTGTCCAATCTAGATTACTACCTTATACAAAGGAGGTCTTGATGTTGTGAAAATGGACAAAACACTTTCACTCACTCCCCTAATGATCTTGTTGTTGATGGACTTTGTGACACACACAATGACTGATGTAAGCAAAACACTTAATTTGGAGGAATTTGGAATACCTTGTGTTGATGTTGATAGCAAAAGGAGATGCAAGATCATATGGATGTCACAACTCCCAAATGTTTTCAGTGACATGAGAACTCAAAGCAATTTCAAATGGTCATGGGTGTATCCATCTGTGGGAGGATCTAATGACTTTGAATCAAGAAACAATTCAATCATCACAGATGTAATGCATGCTCTAACAGATGATCAAATCAATCCGGTTGTACTATGTGGAATGGGCGGTATAGGCAAGACAACCTTGGTGGAAGAAGTTGGTAAGAGAGCAAAAGCAGACGGTCTATTCGACGAGGTTACAATGGCAGTTTTCACCCAAACCGCTGACTTGAGTCGTATTCAAGATGAAATTGCAGAGTTTCTTGGTCTAGAACTTACAGAAAAGGGTTTACGTGGAAGAGCAGATAAGTTACACAGAAGATTATCAGGTACTAAGAGGGTCCTTGTAATATTGGACAATGTTTCTACACAAGTAAATTTGAAGACAGTTGGAATTCCATTTCACTGTGATAAAATGAGTTGCAAATTCTTGGTAACATCAAGAAACCAGGATATATTCAATGATATGGAAACCAAGAAGAATTTTCCTATCGATGTTTTGACAGAACAAGAAGCATGGGATCTATTTAAGGAGATGGCAGGCAGTTCCATTGAATCTCCTGAGCTATATTTCGTAGCACATGAAGTTATGAGTAAATGCGCTGGTCTGCCAATTGCAATTACGACTGTTGGAAGGGCACTAAAACATAAAAGCAAGAATGTGTGGAACGATGCACTTAGACAACTAACAAGGGCTTGCCCAGAAAACATTCCAGGAATGATACAAGAAGTGTATCCCAAAATAGAGTTGAGTTACGAATGTTTAGAAAGCCATGAGGCCAAAGCATGTTTCTTGCTCTGTTGTTTATATCCCGAAGGTTGTAATATACCAATTGAAGATTTGGTTAGATATGGGTGCGGGCTTAAGTTGTTCAAAAGCATCCACTCAATGGTAGAAGGAAGAAACAGTGTAGAAACATTGGTTGGCATACTCAAAAGTTCTTTTTTGTTGGTAGACAGCAACAAGGAAGGGTGTGTCAGGATGCATGATGTGGTGCGGGATGCAGCCTTATCAATAGCTTCTAAGAGTAGAGATGTATTTGTGGTAAGATACGGGACGGAACTGAATGGTTGGCCTAACAATTACGTTTCTGGGCAATACATCTCCAGTACACTGATAACAAATGAAACTCCTGAGCTTTTATTGTTGTCATGTCCAGATGAATGTTTATTGAAACCACCGGCCACTATTTTAGAAGGAATGGAAAATCTCAAGGTTTTAGTTATGAAGAATGTTGACACCATAACTGACCAAGCAACTAGAAGAAACTCTAAGCAAAGCAAGAGGAGTCCCACATCGGAAATCTACAAGAAAACCATATTCTCTGTCGTCTTCACGCCGCTTATCCAAGTACATTGATGGGATTGTTGGTCCAATAGTCCTCAATGGCCAAAGCTTTGCCATCCAATCCACCACCTATGAAGAAATAATTAATCAAAACAGTCAATCTGATGTCTTACATATTGAATCAGAAGCTCCTAGCTAGTCATTAATTTTTCGAAACCTTGATTTGTATTTAAGAAAAAGGGTTAGTATTCTCTACCATCCAGCAATGTATTTGGAAGAGAAAATTAAACCATGAAATCAAATCACTTCAATTTCATTAACATGCAACAACCCCAGTTGATAGGCTTAACTAGTTACCTCTTCTTCCAGCTCGTAAAATGTGTTGCACAAAACCCAATCAGCTTTGTCAACATTAGAGAACTGATCATCCACAACCATTGTGAAGAAAGCAGGGTATGATCCATAAACAGAGATGAAAGAAGGCATGTCAGAAGGTTGAAGTGGTGGCAATCCAGGAAGCAAAATCTCAGACTCAGGAGGCAGAGGAAGTTTGAGCAGGCCTTGGTGGACATGGTAGAATATGTTGTCAACGGCACAAGACTGAGTGAAGAAAACTGCTCCAACAATCCCAAACTTTTTGGCTACATCAAGAGGCCAAGGCATGAATGCATCATAGACAATACAATCAGCTCGGTTCCCTGAGCTAGAGAGCCTGTCAATAAGCTCAATCAGAGTCTTCGTCCCGATTTTTCGAAACCGGTCCAAATAGGCTTCTATGCTCTCTGCTTGAGTAAGCCCACCTTCATCATAGCCATCAGAAATGGTGTCAAATGCAATGGAAGTGGATGATGAAGAAATTTTATGCAGGGTGTTGTGGACAAAGATGGTATTGGCTAGTGTGATTTTGATTCCTTTCTGGTTTAAAAGCTTGGAGAACTGGAACATGGGATTGATGTGGCCTTGGGATGGAAAGGGTAACACCAAGCAGTGAGCTTTGTAGGCTCTCTCCCTCTTCTCCATTCCTCTCTTTTGCTCTGTTTTTCTGTGTTTTATGTTTGTATTCTCTGTTTCCCTCAGCAAGTTAGGTGTCTGGTTTTAATAATTGCGCGTCTCATGCCAGATCAATGGGGACAGTGAGATAAGAAACAACAGGAGAGAGAGAGAGAGAGAGAGAGAGAGAGAAATCCAAAACAATGCCCTCAAATGGAAAATAGTGGCAAGAAACGTAATGGATGAAGGAGGGAAGTTGTGATAAACACAACGTTGATGAATGTGCTAGTTTTGAGTCGGTTGCAGGCGAAGTGCACCAAGTCTACTTTAATATGAATGAATTGATAATACTCTGCAACCATATTGAAAAATGTGCTTATTTTGCAGTACTATGCCATGTGCTCTATTCTGGGTGTTGTCCTCTGCATCAATAATTTACTCAAATGGAGGCAAAATAGAGAACTAGGACCACCTTTTTGGGTTTCAAGAAACGGAGGAGAAATTATTATCGACACGTGACACTGACCAAATTCCTAGGTTGGGTGGGTTCCATCTGATCTTATGGATCACCATTTTCATGGCTTAAAAAGATTTTTATGAGTTTGTTTGGGTCTCCAATTCGGTTTGGATTTGGGCTAAATCCACCCAAACTTTCATGGTCCAAAATCAGAGTATTTATAATACCTAACTATGGATTCTGAGTGTTTGGTTGGTGAGAAACTGTGGGAAAGTGTAGGAAAATTAGTATTCGAAATTTATTAAGTTTCTTTCACTGAAAAAAGAAAGAAATTTATTAAATTTCTGAAATAAAAAATACTAATCTTGTAATTTTCAAATTGTTGGCTGTTTTAAGGGTTCATTTGGGACCAGAATCACTTATGGGAGAAACAAGTGATTATATGGAGAAGTGATTATTGATCTATCTAGAATCACTTCCAAACGAGCCAGAAGCCTCAACCACAACACAAACCTTTATACATCTTTACAATTTTTTTTTATATCCCGGCCTGCAAGCAATCCTCTTTGCCATTCCCACTTTCCATTATCAAATTTCTATCAATCTACAATGAAAAATATAAATAAATAAAAATCAATATTTTTTTTATTTATCACCAAGGCTGCTCCTGCTAAACCAAAGCTCCACTGGCATTACATGACACAGCCATCGATATTCCATATGCACAAGCAAGAGCAAGCAACTATGCTATCAATCTCTTGGTTATCTCTTTTCTCTCTCTCTGCTGCAAAATCTTGCATTTCACCAAGCAACATACCATTCAACAGCTGTCTTATTTCTTTGTATCTGATTGTCTTTGGGATTTCATATGTATTCTTGAGTAGTCACCAAAAGAAAAAAGAAAAAAACTTACAAAGCCTTTGGTGTTGCTTGAGTAATTGCTTTCATTTTTCGTCTTTGACATTGCTTCATCTGTTACATCCCTGAATCTTTATACCCAGAAAAAGAAAAAGAAAAAAGAACTCAAAAATGATTGCTTTCCTTGGTTTTGCCTTTCCTTCTTTGAATCTGAATTCACTCAGAGGAACAGGAAAAAAAAATCAATATTACTTACATCGGTTTTCTTCCTTTGTTTGTCTTTGGTATCCCATTTGTGATCAATAGTCACCACAAGAAAAAGAAAAGTACAAGAAAATGGAAATTTGTATTTCAGTTCTTGGGAAAGTGTCGGAGTACACAGTGGCACCAGTTTGGCGCCAATTTAGTTATCTAATTCACTACAAGAGCAATATTGAGCATCTTGCCAGCCAAGTTGAGAGGCTGGGAGACAAAACAAATGGGGTGAGGCTGCGGGTCGATGCAGCAACCAGGAATTTGGAGATAATAGCTCCTGAAGTTGAGACTTGGTTGCGTGATGTGAGCATGACCATATTGGAAAAGGAGGCATGTTTTGAAAAAGAAAGAGTTGCAAAGGCAGGCTGCTTCAATGGTTGGTGTCTAAATCTGAAGGCTCGTCATTCCTTGGGTAGGAAAGCTAAGAAGATGACTTTGGTGGTGAATGAGCTCCTTGGAGATGGCAGTTTCAGGATGGTAGCCTATCCCGCTCCTCCCCCGGAGATTGGGTTTCCATCAATGCAACATTCTGAGGATTTCACTCTGGCTGTAACAAATACTGCTCCCCATGAAGGTGTTGGATCTTCAAGAAGATCCAACCTTGATCCTTCACCAGCACCTATGGAACTTTATGAGGGTGTCCAATCTAGATTACTACCTTATACAAAGGAGGTCTTGAGGGCTCTGCATGATGACAATATCAACATGATTGGAATTAGTGGGATAAACATGGAAGGAGAAGAAATAGTTACAACAGAAGAGTTCATACAGAGAGTCAAAGAACAGGATCTATTTGAAGGTGTTATGATGACTGTTGTGTCCCCAAATCCAGACTTAAAACGGATGCAAGGAGAAATAGCAGAAATGTTAGGACTGAATTTGGAAAGCGAGAGTTTGGTTGAACGAGCAGAGATGCTGCGTGCTAGAATGTCAGCTGATTCTAAGAGGTACCTCATAATATTGGCTGATGTAAGCAAAACACTTAATTTGGAGGAATTTGGAATACCTTGTGTTGATGTTGATAGCAAAAGGAGATGCAAGATCATATGGATGTCACAACTCCCAAATGTTTTCAGTGACATGAGAACTCAAAGCAATTTCAAATGGTCATGGGTGTATCCATCTGTGGGAGGATCTAATGACTTTGAATCAAGAAACAATTCAATCATCACAGATGTAATGCATGCTCTAACAGATGATCAAATCAATCCGGTTGTACTATGTGGAATGGGCGGTATAGGCAAGACAACCTTGGTGGAAGAAGTTGGTAAGAGAGCAAAAGCAGACGGTCTATTCGACGAGGTTACAATGGCAGTTTTCACCCAAACCGCTGACTTGAGTCGTATTCAAGATGAAATTGCAGAGTTTCTTGGTCTAGAACTTACAGAAAAGGGTTTACGTGGAAGAGCAGATAAGTTACACAGAAGATTATCAGGTACTAAGAGGGTCCTTGTAATATTGGACAATGTTTCTACACAAGTAAATTTGAAGACAGTTGGAATTCCATTTCACTGTGATAAAATGAGTTGCAAATTCTTGGTAACATCAAGAAACCAGGATATATTCAATGATATGGAAACCAAGAAGAATTTTCCTATCGATGTTTTGACAGAACAAGAAGCATGGGATCTATTTAAGGAGATGGCAGGCAGTTCCATTGAATCTCCTGAGCTATATTTCGTAGCACATGAAGTTATGAGTAAATGCGCTGGTCTGCCAATTGCAATTACGACTGTTGGAAGGGCACTAAAACATAAAAGCAAGAATGTGTGGAACGATGCACTTAGACAACTAACAAGGGCTTGCCCAGAAAACATTCCAGGAATGATACAAGAAGTGTATCCCAAAATAGAGTTGAGTTACGAATGTTTAGAAAGCCATGAGGCCAAAGCATGTTTCTTGCTCTGTTGTTTATATCCCGAAGGTTGTAATATACCAATTGAAGATTTGGTTAGATATGGGTGCGGGCTTAAGTTGTTCAAAAGCATCCACTCAATGGTAGAAGGAAGAAACAGTGTAGAAACATTGGTTGGCATACTCAAAAGTTCTTTTTTGTTGGTAGACAGCAACAAGGAAGGGTGTGTCAGGATGCATGATGTGGTGCGGGATGCAGCCTTATCAATAGCTTCTAAGAGTAGAGATGTATTTGTGGTAAGATACGGGACGGAACTGAATGGTTGGCCTAACAATTACGTTTCTGGGCAATACATCTCCAGTACACTGATAACAAATGAAACTCCTGAGCTTTTATTGTTGTCATGTCCAGATGAATGTTTATTGAAACCACTGGCCACTATTTTAGAAGGAATGGAAAATCTCAAGGTTTTAGTTATGAAGAACACATTTGTAATGCCAATACTGCCATCACTTCCACTTTTGAAAAACCTTCAGACACTGTGTCTAGAGCATTGTAATCTGAATTTGGACATCGGACCTGTCATTGGAGAGCTACGAACACTCATGACACTCAGCCTACGTGGATCTTACATCGAACAATTACCTGACGAATGCAAAAATTTGATTGATCTAAGGGTGCTGGATTTGACAGGATGCAATAGTCTTAAAGTAATTTCAACGGGTGTCATATCAAAGTTTTTTCTACTAGAAGAACTGTGCATGTGGAATAACTTTGGGCAATGGGTGGTAGGGGATCAAACCCCTATTGTACTAGATCAACCATGCAGGGATCGGGTGGAAGCCCAGTTAGAACAAGAACAAATAGACAGATTGGAGGAAGAATTTCTGGGGTCACGAGAAGAGCACACGAGGTTCGTTGACTGGATGATTGAGGAATATCATGATGAGGAAGCAGAAACTTATGCAGCAATTACAGATTTACTTTTCTTGCTTCACTTGACTACTTTGGAGATAGTCCTGCCACCAGTTAAAAATCTGCTGCGTACATGCAGCTTGTTGTTTAGGGGTCTTGTAAGATTTCGGATCTCTATAGGGATGATGGATAAAAAATGGGATGTAAATCCGTGTGATAACTACTTGAGACTTCATGATCTTGATGCAGAGTTCTCTCTTGTGGGTAGTGAAATCACCGGGTTGCTAAAGGATACTAACACTCTCGAGGTGAAAATGAAGAATTTGAAGGACCCTCTGAATGTCTTAGATGTAGAGGGTTATGTAAACTTGAAGTCTCTAACACTCAATGACTGCGATGCACTGGAGTATCTTATTGATATGACACGTTCTCTGGAGAATGAGGGTCTGGAATCTCACACACTGGAGTATCTTGAAGACAAGTATGGTTCCATAAGCAGGGTTCCACGCCGGGTCTTTCCTGTCTTGAATTCACTGAAGATCAATGGTGCTCGTAGTCTAAATGAGATTTGTTATGGTCAACTTAGAATGGGGTCATTTGAAGAACTAAGACAGTTAGTCTTATTGAATCTACCTGTATTGACGCATTTGTGGATGGTACCAACTGAATTTGAATGCTTGCCAAATCTAAGACGGGTTGAAGTGAGTTCATGTCATAGTTTGGAATCTCTCTTCCTATTGTCAGTAGCTGGCGGTCTGAAGAAACTTGAAGAGCTGGACATAAGATATTGCCATCACTTGGAAGAGATTGTTGCCCTGGAAGAAGGAAGGGAGCATGGGGAAGAAGCCAATTACAAGATAAAGTTCCCAAATCTGATACGCTTGAATCTTCGAGATCTACCAAGCCTAGTTGGAATCAGCAAAAATATATATCAGATGAACTTTCCTCAACTGATTACATTGAAGCTCCTACAGCTACCAGAACTCATCAGTCTCTGTCCTAGTAGTTTGGCACCAGAAAGTAGCTCTACTGCTGTTATACAACATTTATTTGACCCCAAGGTATTTTCCTTTTCTTAAGATTGCCTCCATATGTATTTTGTTTCCTACCAATATTTCTGTTAACATAATTCCATAAACTCTATAGGTCAGATCCTTTCGTGCACTACGCCTTATGGTGGTGGACAACAGTGAAAAACTGACTGGTGTATTCTCATCCAATTTGGTGGACAATTTAAAGAATCTTCTACAACTTGAAGTAATGGATTGTAGCTCACTGAAAACAGTGTTTGACTTTGAAGGTCTGGAAATCACAAACAAGCATGTTACTGCAACACTCTCTTGCTTAGAGAAAATGGAGTTGACTAATCTACCCTTGTTGGAATATGTCTGGAAGCCACCTCAAAACATTCTGGCATTTCAAAACTTAAGAATGCTCCAAGTTATGCAGTGTATGACATTGAGATATGTGTTCCCAGTGTTCATAGTTGAAGGTCTGGTGAAACTAGAATCAATGTACATAAGTGACTGCGACATGATGAGAGACATTGTGACGCAAAATGAAGAAAGTGGAGATGGAGAGGCAACAAACAAAATTGTTCTTCCTCAAGTAAAAACAATCCATCTTGATAACTTACCTAGCCTCATAACGTTTTTTCCCGCTCCCTGCACTGTTGGCTGTCCATCATTGAGAACGTTGGTGCTTTGCTGCCCTAAAATGAGGACATTTGTTCCATTATTTGCAGCCGCAGGAAGTGGAACGGCAATTAATCATGCAAATTTGCAATTTCCAACACACATTTTCAACGAAAAGGTACACACGGGACTCAAAATCCATGCCACTATCATGTTTCTATATATGCTGTTTCAAACCTACATTCTTGATTCTCGAGCCATCTTCTTAGTCATGCTGTTGATTAATGTAGAAGCTGTTAATATACATGGGCATGACAGCAACTTGTTAGGATGAAGAGTTCATATATAGCTGGGAGCTACTCTATGATAAATCAACATTTTGGTAGATGCTATTAGTATATCCACATTTTCAACGAAAAGGTACGCACGGGACTCAAAATCCATGCCACTGTCATGTTTCTATATATGTTGTTTCAAACCCACATTCTTGATTCTCGAGCCATCTTCTTAGTCATGCGTTGATTAATGTAGAAGCTGTTAATATACATGGGCATGACAGCAACTAGTTAGGATGAAGAGTTCATATATAGCTGGGAGCTACTCTATGATAAATCAACAATTTGGTAGATGCTATTAGTATATTGTATTGGTTTCATAAACATTGCATGTTGTACTCAATATTTTTTAAACTTTTGTAAATCATTGATTAGTTATCATCATGTCAGAGTTGTTTATAGATCCCTTAACACTTAAATCCTGAAACTTGCATCGTAAGGTGTCCCCCCTATCAAGTCTCATTTTTCATGCACATCCTAAATATGTATTACCGTTAACATATATGTAAAAACCTAGTTCTCTTAGTTGGATAACATGTGAAACAAATCGCTTTGACGCAGAAAAGGAAACTCAATCTAGCCTTTTGTTTCTCATGTCTCTAGTGGTTTCAGAGACGATGATTTCAATGTATATTCTGCAGGTTGACTTACCAGTCTTGGAGACCCTAGAAATCCGTCAAATGTACAACTTCAAAGGGATATGGAACAGCCAACTTCCACCCCACTCCTTCTGTGAACTAAGAGATCTAAACGTGTCCAATTGTAGCAGATTATTGTGCTTAGTACCAATGTACATGCAAACCAGATTGCAGAAACTAGAGAAGTTAAATGTGAGAAATTGCAATTTACTGGAAGAGATTTTTGAATTCAGAGAGTTGCCTGCCAATGAAGGGCATGCTGTAACAACTTCACAGTCAAGGGAAGCACCTTCAACTTCCCAGCCTGAAGGAATGCAAATAAGCAAGATGGATTCGCGGCAAACTCAAGGATTTCAGAATCTAACATCATTATATGTTTCTGACTGTAACAATTTGAGAAATCTGGTCTCTCCTTCCATTGCCAGAGGTCTCCAGAACCTAAAGAATCTATCTATAAGCAACTGCCTGAAGATAGAAGAAATAGTCACTACAGAGGTGGTAGAAACAGAGGATAACGGCATGCTCCCTCAGCTAAGTTGCTTGGAACTTAGTGAGCTACCGTATCTCACAAGTTTTTCTCATGGAAAGTATGCGTTCAAATGGCCATTAGTGGAAATGATCATTGTTGACGAATGTCCTGAAATGACGAATTTCTGTTTAGGATCTCTTAGGACAGCAAAAGAAGTCAAAATAAGTATCAGTGGCGCTGGGGAGAATCTTTGGCAGGAGCTCAATGACAGTAGGGAAGAAAGCTGGTCCGCATTTTTAGATCCATAAAAGGTTTGCAATTGCATTTCTGTTGTGTTATAATTTGTATTTCGTGACATGAGCTGTGGGATCAATATGTAACTTGTAGAATGTTGTGTGTACCTCAATTATTTCATTATGCTGATTTGCGCCTCCTAAGGAGGTTTAGTAGCACATATGAATGTCTAAAGTATACCTGCCCTACACCATGTAGAGTTTTTTCTCATAATTCTCAAAAAATTCTTCTGGTATATTTTTGGACCTCAAGGAAAATGTGCATTAGGATGACAATTAATAAAAGGAAGACATAATCGTATACGAATGCCCCCAAAATGAAGAATATGACAGTAAGCAATTCTCTTCTTCACTTTGGGGCCATTCGTAAACGGTTCTCTTTCTTTAATCATATCTGGATTGGTAATTTTTTGGGTTCTAGGGGTACATCACCAAACATGTAAAAAACAAGTAAAGGTCCTTGAACTTTACCTTGAGTTGTAATTGAGCCCCGCAATTTATTTTTAGGCAATTACATCTGTTAACTCGACAATCTACTGTCCAAATTTGTCAATTTGGCCCTCATTTTGAGGGCCAAAAGCGTCATTTCCAATTCCTCAGCCCGCTCCTCCTCTTCTACCTCCTCAACCCCTTGCCACCATAGCTATCACCACCATCACAAGTGCTTTTGGTCCCACCATAGCCATCAATCACCACCGACCCCACTTGCAAGTCTGCAAACGAAGTCATTTTGTTGATTGAGGCTTACAAGGCACTGCGTGATCGGGCCCCTACCCATCTCTACCTTGTTTGTGGCTTCTCTAAGTCCTTCCACCTCAGCCAAATGCGGGAGAAGAAGACGATGATGCTGGGAGCGGGAGAAGAATACAGAGAGAGATCAATGCGTGGGTGGGTGTCTGAGTTTTTATCTCGGCGCAATAGAAGAAGACGATGATGCTGGGAGTGGGAGGACTCAATTGAAGGTTTTAACCCTCTAATTGACAGCCAAATTGACAGAGGATCACGGTAGGATGCAATTGCAACTATTTATTAAGTTAATAGATGTAATTACCTCAAAAAATAGTTGCGGGCCTCAATTGAAATTCAAAGTAAAGTTTAGGGACCTCTACAGTTGAAAACCTTATAAATTTAATTAATTATTAGTTTTTTTAGGACTTTTCCTATTGAGAGGAGTGTAGGGGTGGTCTTACGCCTAGGGCAAGGTATGCTGCTATCTACCCCAAAATTTTCAAAAATAAAAAAAATACTCATATAGAATAGGCCAACCCATATGAAACATACAAACCTATGCCCACCCGAAAAGCTACCAACATGCATGCATAACCTAAAATTTCTCTTCTCTTTAATTATCTCCTTTTTAATTATCTTCTCTTTAATTACCTACCCCCAAATTTTAAGATTTTGTATATGACAACATTGAATCTAATATATTTTAAATAGGTTAGAAGTTATGTGTTCTAATCTATTCTAGAGTTTACTTAAGAATGAATTATAATTTGCTGACTTTGTTGAAATTAATTAGGTCTTCGACTTTTGGAATTTTGTTGAGATGTTTGATTTGATATTGGTATTGTTGAGATGTTTTGATTTGTTGTTGGTATGTTAATGTTTGATTAAAGGCATTGATGTTATTATGAGAATTTATTTGATTTTTTGTTGGGATGTTGGATTAAATAGGTTATCTTTTGTTATGTCGGATCACAATTCAAACCTCAAGAAAACAAAGAATTTGTTGGAAATTTTTTTTTAAGAAAAAGAATAGTTTTTTTTTTTTCCCTAAACTTTTATTTATATATAGAGATGCATTTTAGAATAAGGCTCATTATGTCCCCCTACTATGTGTATATTTTTATGTTTATTAATGAGATTCACTCATAACTTTGAGTTTTTAAGGTAAGTTTCGCCCAGTCGAATTTCAAATCCTGAATCCTCCACTGGAGAGGTGATAAATTGATAATATACTAAACTCATACATACTACACGAATGCTATGACTCGAACTCAGGACTTTTCTCAAACCACTACACTAGTGAGTCTTTGCAATGCAATTGATTTTTAGTTTAAGTTGGTTAATTAGTCAAATTTGTCTGTTCTGTTGCTAATTTGTGGTCAGTTTCTTTCCCTTGATAGGCTGCTTTTGACTGCAACAACAACGGATGGACCGCTTCTCGAAGCTTACTTGTACAAACAAAGGATATATACACTTTGATAAGAATCTTCAACAATGCTGGCCAAATTGTAAAAATCTTCATACAATAATAAAATAAAAACTGCATGGTTTGGAAATTGTCATAATTTGGAATTGACTCTTGACAAATTGGCTTTCCTTTGCAAGAACGTTGGCTTCTTGACAAAAATATGCCTTTTTGGCAATTATAACGAATCATTTTGGGAAGAAAAAGAAAATTCAACAAAACCATTCAACTGAGTGGGAATGGGAACTAATTTCAACACTTAATTGGGTTCATATAGAGAGGATGAGACCCCAGTGGCGGAGGGTCTTTGACTTGCCATACAATCAACTCTATCTGGCTCATCGCTGCTTTCTTTCATTCTTTGTTTCTTGTCGTGGAAATTTCATCTGTTGCTTTCTTTCTTTCTTTCTTTGTCTTTGCCATTGCTTCATTTATTTGGAAGAAGTGAAGCTCCTTTGTTTCTTATTTGTCTTTCGTATTGCTTCTTTTACTAGCTCCTCAAAAACATCCACCCTTACTTCCTCCACCAGCACCTATGCAACTTTCTGAGCGTTTGGAATATAGATTACCTTATACACAGGAGGTCTTGAGGGCTCTGCAGGATGAAAATACCAACCTGGTTGGCATTAATTGTCGGAAATTCAGAGGAGGAGATACCGTGACAACGAAAGAGTTCATTGAGAGAGTGAAACATCAAGCTCTATTTGAACAAGTTGTGATGGCAGTTGTGTCCCTTAATGCAAACTTGAGACGAATACAAGGTGAGATTGCAGAAATGCTACAACTGAATCTGGGGAATGGGAGTTTGTTTCAACGGGCGCAGGTGCTACATGCTAGAATGTCCCAAGACTCTAGGAGGTTGCTTGTAGTATTGGCTAATGTCCGGGACATGCCTGATCTTGAGGCCATCGGAATCCCTTATGGTGATACCGATACAAACGGAAGGTGCAAGATCATGTTGATGTCAGGACTCATGAATGTACCAGCCAGTGTTGAGATGAGAGCCCAAAGTAATTTCAAGTTGTTACTGGAATCTACACCGAAAGGACCTATTGCTTTTGAATCAAGAAATTCAATCCTCAGAGGCGTAATGGAAGCTCTAGCAGACGATCAAATCAATCCGATTGTAATATGTGGAAAGGGAGGTATTGGCAAGACAACCTTGGTGAAAGAAGTTGGTCAGAGAGCAAAAGCATGTCGTCTATATGATGAGGTTTTGATGGTTGTTTTTACCCCAAACCTTGACTTTAAATGTATTCAAGATCAAATTGCAGATTGTTTAGGTGTATCACTTGCAGGACAACCTTTATCTGCAAGAGCAAATAGCTTATGCCAAAGATTATCAGGGGATAAAAAGGTCCTTTTAATATTGGACAATGTTTCTATACCACTGAATTTGGAGGAATTAGGAATTCCACTTCCTTGTGATAAGAAAGGTTGCAAGATTTTGGTATCATCGCGAAATGAAGATATTCTTGCTGGAACTGAAAAGATTTTTTCAGTTGGTGTGTTGCTAGAACAGGAAGCGTGGAGTTTGTTTAGGGAGATGGCAGGCAGTTCCATTGAATCTCCCGAGCTGCTTCCGGTAGCACAACAGGTTCTAAATGAATGTGCTGGTTTACCAATTGCAATTGCAACAGTTGGAAGGGCACTGCATCAAAAGAGCAGGAAAGTGTGGATTGATGCACTGAGACAACTAAGAAAGCCTTGCCCAGCAAACATCCCAGGAATGATGCAAGAAGTGTATCGGAAAATAGAGTTGAGTTACGAGTGCTTAGGAAGCAAGGAAGCGAAAACATTTTTTCTGTTGTGCTGCCTACCTGAGCAAAGCAATATTAATATAAGGGTTGAAGATTTAGTTGAATCTGGGATTAGAGTTGAGCTATTTAAAGGCATTGGTTCGGTGACTGAGGCATGGAACTGCGTAGAAACATTGGTTGACATACTCAAAAGTTGTCTTTTGTTGTTGGACGGTGACAAGGAAAGATTTGTCAAAGTGCCTGATATAGTGCGGAGTGTGGGTTTATCAATAGCTGCTTCAAAGTGGGGGTAACCAATTTTTCCACTTGAGGTATCTATTCTTCACTCTGGTAGCCTTCATCTTACTCACCCAACCTCTCACCAACTCGACGAAAAACCAAAACTTTTGTTTTAAGGATATTGTTAGTAAGTTGCATCGCCTCCATATACATTGTTAGAGTTTTTGTTGTTATTGTATCTGATCTTTGTTATCTGGAAACTTATTTCTGTAAATGCAAGTCTGGGTAAGGCGCTGATTGTATTGAGTCCCATCTATCTTGCACATCATAAATATATGGACAGTTGTTAATTATGTACACAACATGATCTGTCCATTGATATAAATAAAACAAGTAATTCTGACAAATAGAAAACTCAAGCCTTTAATGGATTGGCTGCCACTGAAGGCTCAAAAAACGAACTCAACGCTTCCAGAATCTAACAACGATTATATGTTTCCAACTGTAACAACCTGAGAAATCCGATGTCTCCTTCCATTGCCTGAAGATAGTAGAAATAGTCAGGGCAGAGGTTGAAGAATGTTAGATTGTAGGGTAGTTGTGAGTGGTGTTGCTATGATACCGTTGTTGGTTTATGTGATGAAGGGGTTTAGGACAATAGGACAATAGATGAAACAAAGTGATTTTATTATATTGGAGGAGAATAGTACATAGATTGGTGTACATAGGGTTAGGCTAATTGGCCTTCTTCAATTAGTGCTTAGTGTTTAGGCTTATTGGCCTCCTTCCTTGCTTATATAGGCTTATTGGCCCTCTTTCTCTTAGCTTGGTGAGCTTATTGA